CCCATGGCAGAGCCATCCTGGCAGTGTCCAGGTGCCTGCAGCCCATGTAGAGCCACCCTGGCAGTGTCCAGGTACCTGACAGCCCATGTAGAGCCATCCTGGCAGTGTCCAAGCCCCTGGCAGCCCCTGTAGAGCCATCCTGGCAGTGTCCAAGCCCCTGGCAGCCCCTGTAGAGCCATCCCACGGTGTCCAGGCCCCTGCAGCCCCAGCTCACCATGCTGTGCTGCTCCTCATCGGGGCCGCAGCGCTCGGCGTGGCCATGGCAGAAGCAGCTCCCCAGCACCTGCATCTCCGTCACGGCGTAGAAGGTGCTGGGCGAGTGGTAGCCCTGGCGAGGGATGTGGGGCAGCTCCGTGAAGTTGATGCGCAGGTTGGTGAAGGGCCCCAGCTCTGTGGAGGACAGGGGACGGGTGTAAGGGGCAGCAGAAGTTCCTTGAAGTTGGTGGGGAGGGCTTGGAGCAAGGGAAGGAGGAATTGGCACCAGGAGCAGCAGCTGAGCCATCAGCAAAGACCAAATGCTGCTCCTTGACACCCAGAGGTGCAGCTGAGGGGTGCCCAGGGGTTACCCCAGGTCTGCACTTCCCAACCCTGCAGGGAGAAGCACCAGGAGCCTCATTCCCCTCTCCCTGCTCAGCTCTGGGGGAGGCCCAGCACTCACTCCCGATGGCCTGGCTGTAAGAGGAGCTGATTGCAGAGCCCAGCTCTTGGACACTGAATTTCACCTTAGAGGGAAAGAAAGCAGGTTAAAAAGCAGGAAACTCAAGCTGCTCTCTAGGCACTGTGCTCAGGACTTGCCTCTGCACACTTCGCTAAACCCAGGGACAGCCTTTAGAGCCGAGAGGACTTTGCAGGAACAGCAAAGCACCCAGCACAGCACCTGCCCGTCACAGAGCAGCACAGGCGCTCCTGCAGGCAGCAGGAACCTTCCCAAGGGCTGCCCTCAGTGCTGCTGGGTGCCACGGGCCCCCCCTCACCAGGTGTGCCAGGCTCCCATCCCTCACCAGGTGTGCCAGGCCCCCACCCCTCACCAGGTGTGCCAGGCTCCCACCCCTCACCAGGTGTGCCAGGCTCCCATCCCCACCTCTCACCAGGTGTGCCAGACCCCCATCCCTCACCAGGTGTGCCAGGCTCCCATCCCCACCCCTCACCAGGTGTGCCAGGCCCCCATCCCTCACCACTTGTGCCAGGCTCCCATCCCCACCTCTCACCAGGTGTGCCAGGCCCCCATCCCTCACCACGTGTGCCAGGCTCCCACCCCTCACCACGTGTGCCAGGCTCCCATCCCTCACCAGGTGTGCCAGGCTCCCATCCCCTCCCCTCACCAGGTGTGCCAGGCTCCCACCCCTCACCAGGTGTGCCAGGCTCCCAGGCCACCCCGTGTCCCTGCAGCATCACCCACCCCAACCCCGGGCCCACACGGGGGGTCCCTGCCACAGCCCCCCAGTCCCTACCGTGCCCCCGTGCAGGGGGTGCCCGCGCAGCTCCTGGCACCGGGGGTCCTGCCAGCCCTCGGGGGGCCCAGGGGGCACATGGGGGAAGGCAGTGGCACAGTCGGAGGCCAGGTACTGCAGCACCTGCCACGTCCTGCCGGCGTCCAGCGAGCGCTCGATCAGCATCGCTGCGGGCGGCGACTGCGGGCAGGGACAGACACACGGGCTGGCACGGGGCTGGTACAGCACTGGCACGGGGCTGGCACAGCACTGGCACAGCACTGGCACGGGGCTGGCACGGGGCTGGCACAGCACTGGCACAGGGCTGGCGCCTCACAGGAGCTCCTGCAGACACCCACCCTGAAGTGCAGCACCACGCTGTGCAGCTGGAACGGCTGCTGCAGGTCCAGCTGCAGGGACACGCGCTGCACACCTGCGGGCACAGAGTGTGGCATCAGGGGACAGCGGGGACACCGGCCAGCCCTTCCCTCCTCCCCCCAGCCGCGGGGCTCAGCGCCGTCCCCTCGTCCCTCGGGCAGGCTGCTGTGCCCGGGGTGCCCCTCACCATTCTGGGACTGCCACCAGCGCGCGCGGCCGGCCGAGGCCAGCACGTTCTCCACGCGGTGCCCGCTGTAGCTGTGCGGCAGCCTCGAGTCACACCTGCAGCACTTCATGCTCCACTGCAAGGAAAGGACAGCGGGGGTGACCACCCCGAGCCCCCGAAGGCGCAGGGTGGGCAGGAGAGGCAGGGCGGGTTCGTGAGGGACCAGGAGCATCAGCCCGGAGCCGGCTGAAGGACCACGAGCAGCGAGGCTGGCGACACTCAGGCCTCAAGTGCTCCCCTCCACACCTCGCTGAAAACCACAGCTCGAGGTTTTATGGACTAACAACTAAACCCGAAATGCTTTTGACTAACACAGATTTCTGGCGACCCATCAAAATTGCAGTTTTTTAAGCGACCCCCCTGGTTTCCACAAGGCCAGCAGCTGACACAAAGCCCTTTGCAGCCCTCAGGACTGGCTGGCCCTTTCCACACGGCCGAGGCGCTGCTGGTGGACACCAGGGCCTTTCTCTCCTGCCCAAGGGCTCGCGATGCCCGGCCCGGGGCTGGCCCCGGGAGCAGAGCAGCAGCGAGCAGTGGGTGAGAAGCCAGGGGGTAGGAAGTCGAGTGGCTCAAAGTTCAGCCCTTCACTTGAGCAAGTCATCCACGGAGTAAACACAGACGGAGCACGGGGAACGTGGGGACGGCAGAAAAGCGTCCCCCGGGAGCAAACAAATCCCCAGATTGTCACTAAACAGGCAACGCTCCCTGCAGCCACCGCCAGCCACGCCGCGGGGCTCCGGAGCCGGCTCAGGAACGGGCAGGAAGCAGCAGGAAAGAGATTGAGCAAGAGCCGGGGTGGGGAAGGGCTGGACAGCAGCCAAGGCACGGGGTGGGCGAGCAGGGTGGGCCAGGACCACCGGGAAACTGGGATGGAGACACCCAGGTGAGGCCAAGGTGGGAAGGGCAGGGCCAGGGGGATGGGGAGTCAGGATGTGGGAATTAGGAGATGGGGAATGGGAATTAGGAGATGGGGAATTGCAATTAGGAGATGGGGAGTTAGGAGATGGGAATTAGGAGATGGGGAATGGGAATTAGGAGATGGGGAGTTAGGAGATGGGAATTAGGAGATGGGGAATTGGAATTAGGAGATGGGGAATTAAGAGGTGCTGCCAGAGCCCACAGCAGCATCCCAGGGGGACCCAGGGACTGAAGCACTTGGAGTGGAGCCAAGGACTTCATAGACCACTGGGAGGGGAAAGATGCTGCTCAGGGCATGAAATGAAGGGCTCAGCACCTCCAGCCTGGTGAAAAACAGGTTATCCAGGGAAACTGAGGCTGCCCCAGGCCTGGCAGTGCCCCAGGCCAGGCTGGAGGGGGCTTGGAGCAGACGGGGAGGGTGGAAGGTGTCCGTGCCAGGGCACTGGAACTGCATCATCTCCAACCCACAGCTTCGGAGAGCTGAGCTGTCAGCAGCCTGGGCAGCAGGGGAGCTCCCAAATGGAGCAGTGGGACACGTCTGTCACGCTGACCATCCCAGGGGGATTAGGGGGATGGAGCAGAGCGTGCCAGAGACAGCAGGAGTGGCCCTGAGGGCTCAGAAATGTCACCCTGCTGCAGAGGGGTCTGGGTCTGGCAGGGGCACAGCTGGCACGGGGAAGGCAATGGGATACCTCTGCAAGGCTGGCAGGGGCTGCCGTGGCTCCGGTGGCTCCGGGGCCACGGGCACGCTGGGACCCCAGGAGGGAATTGGCTTTCAGGGTCTGAGCAGGGTGACAAGGGACAGCAGCATGCACAGCCACCCCTGTGCTCAGAGCTCCAAACAGAGTCAGATCCAACCCAAACCCCAACAGGGTCCCAGCGTGGGGCTGGGCTCGGGAACGGTGACACCACAATTAGTGGTTTCCCTGTTAAAAATGAATTTGTGCTTTACAAAAATTCACCTGTGGTTTCATTCCTAACACAGCCCAGAGCCAAGTCTGCTCTGTCCCAGGCCCGGGAGCCCTTCCCCAGCTGGGTGCACAGTGAGATCCTCACTTGTGACCCACCTATTTCCTTATTTTCCACAATCTTTATGTTCTCTGTCTATAAATACCCCACCACAGGAGTTGGCAAACTACAATATTTATAACACTATCACAAAGTAAGCAAACATAGCACTGAAAAGATACAATCATTCCATTTCCTTGGCTCTCCCAGTGAGAATCACAAATAATTTAATCAGGACTAGGCAGAACTCGTTTCAGATAATGGCCACGAGGAGCAAATTGTCAGGGAGCTGCAGGAATTATCCACAGAAATAATCTACTGAACAATTGCCAGCGGTGATTAAACTTCCCACCAGTCCTGACTGTGCTCAGCAAAGGAGAAAGGAAGGTTTTCTGCAAGGGGAAAGGTTAATCTCGGCTAAATTATTCATTAGGAGTGACTCGTGCACACTTATGAGATCATTCACACAACTGGGACCCCGGTGCTCTCCAGCAGCCACAGCCCCACTCAAACCTGGTGCTAAATCAAAGCCAGTCTTCAATGGTGTGAGACAAACCCTTCCCAGGCAGCCCAGGGCTGTGCTGGCTGCAAAAATATCTTTTTTTTCTTTTTTTTTTTTTTTTTTTTTTTACCCCTCAATTTTTAAATTAAGGCTAAAATTAACACTGGAAACCAAACTCATTTCACATGCTCGGAGTAAGTTGTGAAACCCCTGTATTGCACAAGAGCAGGGTTTGCTCTTACCAGCTGTGACTATGTGTCTCAAAGTTCCTTGGGACAGAGGGAATTACCAAAAGTGACGGCCCAAAACGAGGAGAGCTCTACCAGCACGTACTTCTCCCAGCTCTTCCCCATTTCTCCTTTTTCAGGCAGCTCAGCGGGTGCTGGAGCTGGCCAGGAGCACACGGGGCTGCAGCACCTCCTGCCACGGAGCTGTGCTGCCAGGGCTGGGGCTGCCAGGGCCTGCCAGGGAGGCCAAAGAGGCTGCAAGGAAATCACTTCTCGCCCTCTGTGCCTCCGAGCTGCTCCAGACACCCAAAAGATGGGTTATGGAGGCTCTGGGATTGAGGGAAATTCATCCCGGACTTTTGAAAGATAATTGACAGCAGGGTTGTGTGAGAGGGGACACTGCTGTGCTCAGATTAAATAAGAGTCAAGTCTCAGAAATAAATGGAAGGGGGAAAAATCCTCAAAAAATGACCTGAAATGTGTGATGGGTCTGTGCTGCTCCCCTCCTCCCTGGCCCTGTGACCCAGCTCCTGAGCAGCCTCCCTGCTCATGCAGCCCCAGAAAAACTCACACAATTCAACCTGCTGGCCCCTGAGCAAAGTCATTCCAGGGGCTCCTGCTGCCATTTAACATGAGCAGAGAGCCCTTGAAACAAGAACCTCCTGGCACAGGAGCACAGCCCAAAATAAACTGCACTTATCAGCAGAAAGGGAAGCTGAGCAGGGCAGCCGTGGGCAGGGACCCCTCCTGGCTGTGGGGCTCAGGGGTCCCAGCTCGGACCCGCTGTGGCAGGGACAGGGCTGTGCCAGCCGGGCTCCTGGCACCCAGCCCCAGCAGCAGCTCTGTACCACCCATATTCCATAGGGACAGCAGTGGCCATCCCAATTCTATCTGGGAACGCTCTGGAGAGCAGTGGGAATTCAGGCACACGCAGGGATTTTGGGTATTAAACAAGGGGGTGGGCAGCACGTTAACTGGGGGACAAAGGCCCTGCAAAGCCAGGCTGTGTAATTCCCTACTCCAGCCCCTTTTCTGAGGACAGGTCTCCCTTCCAGCACTGCTGTCTGCGGGACGTGGCTGTGCCAGGCTCCTGGGGCAGGGCTCATCGTGCCCGGGAGGAAATCCTTCCCTTTGCCACGGGAAAAGGCAGCAGGAGTTCCCGTGGCTCTGCCACCATGGTTAAACTGCCCAGTGAGCAGCTGGTATTCCAAAACTGCACTGGGATTCAGTTTGGGATCACAGATCTGGCACAGAATCGTGGAGCTGAAAGGGATCACTGAGTGCAGTTCCCAGCCCCACACAGGACACCCCAAATCCCAGCCTGAACCCGAGATTCTCTTTGCCATGACATCAGTGTCACCTTGGCTGTCTGGAAATGACCTGAAAATGAGCTCCAGGGTTCTGCTCAGGTCACAGAGAGAGAGCTCTGCCCCCAGCTTGGTTCTGCCCCAAATTCAGAGGGGGCAGAGACGGGGTAAAGGCGCCCGTCGGACAAACATCCCAGGGATGAGGTTTAAGGAAATGAAGTTCCTTTCCCTCACTTTAAAGCAAGCACGTGGGTGCTGTTTTCCTCACCCCATCTGTTCTCACATCAGCAAAACTTCATCTAGAACCCGCCAGGATGACTTGACAGGCTGCAAACCCCAAACTGCACCAGCTTATCCCACACCCCACACGGCTCCTACCGTGACACCAGAGCTGCTAACGGGGACTGCCCCCCTCCACATCCACCAGGTGCCCACAAAGATCAGGAGAGGCAGGCAGGAAATCCCACACAAACCACATTTGAAATATCAAAAGTCTCCCAGGCTGGAGGCTGAGGAGTCGCTCCCCAGCCTGCTCCAGCAGCAGCACAGGGACCCAGCCCTGCTCCTGCCCTGCCTCCTCTCCTGTCTCTGGCACAAGATCTCTCAGGGTGCTCAGGGTGGCTGTGAAAGCCTCTCTGTGCCCCTCTCTGTGCCCCTGTGGCTGCAGGGACCAGCGAGGGCTGCTCCGTGCTCCTCAGTGCTGTGCATACATTTCTATTCACATCTGTATCACACATAGCTCATTTGCAGTTCATCTATATCAGACACAGAATAATATTCCATAGTTCATTTATAGTTCATAGATCAGATACAGAATAATATTCTATAGCACATTTACAGTTCATCTATATCAGATATAGAATAATATTCCATTGTTCATTTACTGTTCATATATCAGATATAGAATACTATTCTGTAGTTCATTTATAGTTCATATATCCGATACAGAATCATATTCTGTAGTTAATTTACAATTCATATATCAGATACAGAATAATATTCTATAGTTAAGGCAGTGCCAGCTGAGGCTTGAACCACACCTGAGCCCACCACAGCCTCTCACAGCAGCTGCCAGACTCCAGAGCCAGCC